ACTACTACTACTACTGCTACGATTACTACTACTACTACTACTACTACTACTACTACTACTACTACTGTTTCTACTACTACTACTACTACTACTACTGTTTCTACTACTACTACTACTACTACTACTACTACTACTACTACTGCTACTGCTGCTGCTACTACTACTACTACTACTACTACTTTTTATTACTACGACTACCGATATTATTACCATTACTACGACTACTTCTACACTCCGTTGTGCGTACATCGGTGCCTTGTGCGTACATTTGTGCCGTGTTAATCCGTACATGCGAGTTGCCCGGACAAGAAAATATTCACTCCCAGAGCCCCGAACTTTTTTTCCCCCAGGAATTGTTATCAGGGGCTCCGGTGCCTTCAACTGGCCCCAGGGCGGACCGAAAATCACTCAGGACGAAAGAACCAGAGAAGTGTTCCAGACCTCAGGGTGTCCACGCATCGAAACAATTGCCCGATGTATGGGTGTGCGCCCAGGTTCGGGCCCGGGCAGCCTCACAGATCGATGTCTCGAGAAGCGGCACAGAGAGATGGGGTGCAGGGCTGTGGTGGTGGTCTGTGCCCCGATGTGCAACATGTTTTCGCAGCGCCTGACCTCGCGGTCCCAGGGCCTGGCGGGGGCCCCGGGAGGCTGAAACCGGCCAAGAATCTCCCGTCGCGAATTTTGCTTAGAACGCGAGAACACAATCTGGCCGCTGAAGAAGGAACCCTTCTCGTTGGGGAGGGGCTTAGCGTTCTGTATATGTGTTTCAGTTTGTCGTATGTTTTCATCAGGTTTTTCTTGGGACAACGAAGTTGAGTCTATGGGGAAAAAGGGGGTTCGTTTTTGATCTAGGGTTCCTTACGGCAGCGTTTCTACTGCAGGGAGGACGGGGGCTGGAAGGAAGCGGCGCCCAGGACAGCCTGCTGCAGCTGCAGTCGTCGGACCTGCGGGCCGCTCTCGCCACGGGTTCCGCGGCGACCGCTGCGCCCCAGGCCCCCAGGGCCGAGATGAGCGGCGGAGGAACATGGGATCGGTTGCGCGGTCATCGGCGCGCGAGCTGCCCGCATAAGGTCGCGCCTAAGCGCTCTCAATGTGGCGTGCCGCGCTAGCGGTCCACCGTGCGTAAGATCCGTGTCTCGTGGCACCTGGTTCCGATCAGCCGAACAACATGTAGGTGACCAGAAAAGTCGGTGACCGAACACTTGCCCGACTTTGTGACCGAAAACGTGGTGCGATCGAAATCGTGACCGAAATTGTAGCGCTTCGCGTCTGCCCACCAGCCCATCCAGTAATGATGCCCAGGGGGGTTGACGTGATCAGAGAAGTGGGGGAGCATGCGGAAGAACATTGGGCGGGGGAAGCCGTCCAATACCCCAAGAGGGGGAGGATGGTGGAGGAGAAGGAAGAGGAGAAGAAGGAGGAGGAGGGCGAAGAGGAGGAAGGAGGAAGAGACAGTGGACAAGGAGGAGGAGGAGAAGGAGGATGATGATGAGGAGGTGGAGGAGGGGCATCTTGGCGAGCCCAGAGCCGTCTCTGAGTGTCTTGCGTGCCTCGGGCATCCTCTTGAGGTCTCTTGGGGGTCTCTTGGTAGCTTCTTGGCGGCTTCCTGGACGCCTCTTGGGGCCGTCTGGGCGCCTCTTGGGACCCTCTTGGGGCGCTCTTGGGAGCTTGAGGGGCGTCCTTGGGGCCATCTTGGAGGACATCGATCAAAAAAGAGGGGAGCTCCAATTAGCCTCCCCCCTTTGGAGCCCCATAAGTCGCCTCTTGGAGCGCTCTTGGAGCGCTCTTGAGCGCTGTTGGGGCCGTCTTGGGGCTCTATTGGGTCTCTCCTGGGGCCCTCTTGGGCCATCTTGGAGCCCTCTTGAGGCCTCGGATGGCCATCGGAAGCGAACAGGTGAGAAAGCACATTTCTTTGAGATCCCCTAGGGTTTGGACGAATTTTGGATTCTTGGAGGCCGCCTTGGAGGTCTCGGAGGCGTCTTGGAGCCGTCTTAGAGCGTTCTTGGGGCCTCTTGGAGCATCTTGGGAGACGACTTGAGGCATATTGGGCTATCTTGAGCCATCTTGGGGGTCATCTTGGGCTCTCTGAGGCCCTCTTGGATCCATCCTGGGCGAAAACGTGCCCTCTGACGCCTCGCAGAGCGCCCTGTTGAGGTTCAGGGGAGGGGGTAGGGGGGAAGGGGTCTAACCCGAAGAAGGGGGTGGAAGAGGAGACTCTCTAGACCACCTACGCCCAGAGGGCTGGTAGGATCGTCTTGGTTTCGAATTACATTTTTCTGTCACACTCGGGCGCGGCCGGGAATCGGGCGCTAGTTTCGGTCGCTCTCGGGCTGATCTTCGGGCACAGTTTCGGCCGCGACGCCTTCCTGATGGAAGGAGGAGGAGGAAGAGCAGGAGGAGGAGGAGGAGGAGGAGGAGGAGGAGGAGGAGGAGGAGGAGGAGGGGGCTGGTCCGCCGCCCAGGTGCAGATCGTGCAGAGCCCGGAGCGGAGCGAGCCCACGCTGCACATCAGCATGGAGCTCCGGGTGCATAGCCCACGGCGAGCGGAGCCGGAGTTGATCATCAGCACCGGGCCCGCACCCAGCACCAGCCCGCCCGATGCGGCGCCGGCGCCCGCACCGGCGCCGTTGCGCCCTGGTCCAGGTTCGAGCAGTGGCGAAGCGTCCTGGCTTCCCTGTATAGGCCCAGCAAAGAATGTTCTAAGAACCTTTTTTCGAGGTCTGCGCGGAATGGTCTCGGGACATCGCTGGCTGGGACTCTCTGGTTTCTACGCCTCGGGGCTGTGCTCTAAGAACATTGTTTTTGTTCTTACAATTCTCTCGGGGGGTCTCAAAAAAGTTCGTGGCAGGCCTGTGCCCAGACATGCGAAGTCCTGATTTTTTCAGGACGGCGTCCCTGGAAGTCCCGACCCTTTCCCCGGGACCGGTTTTTCGTCCCGAGCCGTTTTTTGACGGTCCCGAGACCCGGCGAGGGCGTCCCGAGGTTGAATAGCCAAAAACCGCCCGTCATGATTTTTTACGACGCGACCATGTTTGCGTAGAGATGCAGGGACGGTCTGTCCTTGCTCGGAAGGTGGCGCGCCCTCGACGCCCGCGGCCGGCGCCAACAAGACGCCTGCGGCCCGCGCTGGCGACCAGGCAGGCGCAGCGGCGGCCGCGCCGGCGCCGTTGCGCCCTGGCCCCCCCGGCGGGTTCTCGCCCTCTCGCTGCGCGCCGTCGCAAAAAGTTCGGAGGTTGAGGAGGAGGAGGAGGAGGAGGAGGAGGAGGAGGAGGAGAAGGAGGAGGAGCCGCGGGCGCCACTGCGACGTCGTCGTCGCCTTTGCCGTGCCTCGCCGTCGTCGTCACGGCCGCTGCGGCGGCGAGGATGGCGGCGGCAGGGGCGGCGGCGGCGGCAAAGGCGACGGGGTCGACTGCGACGACGGCGGTGACGAGGGCTCGAGGGTCCTCGGAGGCCTCCGGAGGCCCCAGAAGCCCAGACAGTGCCAACAGCAGCATACAAGAGCCTAAATCGTTCGAAGCCTCGATCCATCAACGACGGCGGGCGGCGTCGCCGTCGCCGTCGCCGTCGCCGCCACCTTTGAAGTCGTCATCGTCGTTGTCACGGTCGACGTCGCCTTCGTTGCGACCTCAGCCGTCGTCGTCGTCGTCGTCGTCCGGCCCCGGCAACGACGAAGACGAAGACGAAGACGACAACGACGTCGGCGTCCTCTGCTGGCTCCGCGGGCTGCGCCGAGGCGTCGCCGATGGCGGTCCTGGCCGCGGCTGGCATCGCGGGCTCGTCGCCCGTGGCCGCGCGGGCGGTCGGCGCACCTGGCGAGGTGCGGCCTTTCGCGAGGCGCGCCGTCGTCATTGGCTGTCGTCGGTCGTCCCCGTCGTCGTCGTCTTCGTCGCCGTCGCCGTCGCCGTCGCCGTCGCCGTCGCCGTCGTCGTCGCCGTCGCCGTCGCCGTCGCCGGCCCCGGCCGCCGTCGCTGGCCGCCGTCGCCCGCCGCTCGCCGCTGGCCGCCGTCGCTCGCTCGCTGGTCGCCCTGGCCGATCGTCGCTGCCCTTCGTCGCTTGTCACTCGGCAGCGCGTGGGGCGAGGTGCGGACTCCGCTGCGAGGTGGCGTGCGGCGGCCTCGTGGCGCCTCGGCGCGTGTTGCGTGCGGTGGCGCGGGCGTTGGAGGTCGAGGTTATGGAGGTCCTCTTGGCATCGCTCGGACGTGTGCATTTCTTCTCGGCGAGAACCCTCGAGGACCATTCTGGAGCATCGAGCAAAAAAAAAAACACGCACGACACCGAAAAATGCACTGGAAATGGACGTCCGAGCGACGGCAAGTCCTCGGGGCCCAGCCAGGGCGGCCGCTGGGGGCCATCGGCGACTCTAGGCCTCCTGGATGGGGTCAAAGCAGAGGGGGTCGGAGGATCGCACCGCATCGCCGATGCATCGGCGATGCATCGTCGATGCTGAGCGATGTGGGGCCCTCTTTTTTTCACGCCGGCGTCGCCGATGCGTCGCCGATGCATCGCCGATGCGGCGTGATCCTCCGACTCTATCTGCTCGGACCCCGTCAAGGAGGCCTCCAGCAACGGAGCTCGCGCTGTGCGTTGGGCGGTTCAGGCGGTGACGCGGCGGGAGCTTGACCTTGTCTGCGTGCTGGGTCTTGCCCCGCCTGCTTCTCGCGTGGTCCTTCTACTTCTCGCGGCCCTCCTGCTCCCCAACCGTCTCGTTCTCCCCCTATCCTCCCTCCTTCGCCGCTTCTCCGTCGTCCCTCTTCTCCCCGCCTTCGCCCTCGGCCTGCTCGTCTTCCTCATCTCCCCCCCTTGTCCGTTCCCCTGCCCATCTCCCTCCACCTCCCACTCCTCCCCATTCACCACCCCCCTATTCCGACGATCTCCTCCGCATCCACCCTCCCTCGCCTCTCCCTCTCTCCCCACCACCGGCGACGACGGGCGATTGCCGCTGCGGTGAGCGAATAGTTCTCTGCAGGCACCCCGACAAGGCAGCGGCGGCGTCTATTCGTCGGCGCCAGCGAGGGCGCCGACGCCAGTCCGACGTCGACGGCCGACGTAGTCGCGACGACGACAACGATCACGACGGCCGACGCCAACGACAACGACCACGACCACGACGACGACGACGTGAACGACGCGAGCATGTCTTGGGCGGTGGCGTCGGCGGCGGCCGCGACGACGACGGCGACGGCGACGGCGAGGGCAGCGGCGCCAGAGGCGCTCCGACGCGGCGACCACGACGACGGCCGACGACGACCACCACCACGAGGGCGGCGGCGGCAGCGGCGGTGGGCGACGGCGGCCGCGGCGGCGACGGCGGTGGCGAACAAGGCGCCCCGACGGTGTGGCCGCCGCCCAGCGCCCGGCCGCCCGCAAGACGGCTGGCGCGCCGCCAGCCGACGCCGCCGCCGCGCCGCTGCTAGACCCGCCGCTGTCCACAGGACGCGCCGCGCGCATTCGCCACCCGCGTCATCGTCGGGGTCGTTGTCGGTATCGCCGTTGTCCTCGGTGCTCGCCCCCAAATTCAAGCCCTAGACCCCACGAAAAATCATGACGGGAGGTTTTTCGCTTTTTGAAGCCGGGCCCTCGCCGGGCCCAGGGACTGTAACAAAAATGATTCAGGACGAATCTTCTCTCTTGGGGAATGGGTCCAGACCTCAGGGTCGACGTTATGGAAAATCCTGACGTCAGGAGTCTGGGGTATTGGTGAAGGGTTCTGACTTGCCAACAGGTCAACCGAAGATTGTTCTGAGCACCCTTTGCGGCTTGCACGAAAAATGTTATTTGAACATATTTGGCTGAGACAGTTTAGTTTTAAGCAGTCGACTTACTTCCTGGGAACATTGTAGTTCGTTTGGGGGCATTCCTTTGTTCTAAGGACATGCCGGTAGGCTTAGAGGAATACCGGGACGGTCGGTCCTTACTCTCACCGAGCGCGTCCCGCTACTCACAAAGTGCCTACTCGCAAACCTCCGGAAAAGACATGCCGCTTTCTATTTAGTGGATCGTAAATCCCACGCGGCGGATGCAGGCCATTTGCTAGTATTTCCTTTGCGAGTAGTGGGACGCGCTTGTCCATACTCAAAAGACGTCCAATGTCTTGAAGAACTCAAGACGGAGGCCTTTTTTTAGCTTTCGGGCCCCAGGGGGCCTTGCCAGGCCCAGAATGCGCCAACAAAGCGATTCAGAATTCTAATCCTGCGTCGCGCGCTTGCTGCCCGTCGTCGTCGGAGTCGTCGTCGGCGGCGTCGGCGTCGGCGGCGACGTCGCCGTCCCTCAAGAGAGGGCCAGTTGAGACAACGGTTGTTTGCCTTCGGGTGGCCACCTCGTCGCCACGGCTGGACGCAGCTCGGAAAATTGATGCGTTTGGACACCTGGAGGGGTCCAGTAACAGGTTCTGAGCTGCCGTCGGCGGCGCCGTCGCCGTCCCCAGATCTCCGACAATATGGTGTTTCAATCGGGGCGCTTTTCCTTGACCTCGGCCTGCGAGGCCCGCTATCGGCCCAGCGGGTAATTACAAACGCAGCCATGCTCCTAGGCAATGGGTCGGGGCCTCTGGGGCCACGCGTTAGAGTAGTCAGATCGAAGTGGTGGAAGAGGAGGGTGAGGTGGTGGCAGCAGGAGAGGCGGAGAGGGAGGACAGGGAGGAGTCGAAGGCGGAGGCTGAGGTTTGTTTAAGAAACGGATGCAGAGAAGGCGTACGTACAAGATCATAGGATGTGGGCGACACGGGGGGTTCGACGGGTTCAGCTGTTCAGTTTTCTGAGTCCAGGACGGGTGAAGATAGGGGCAGCACGGGAGGACGAGCAAGAGCAGGGGAGGGGGCGGCGCTGCGCAGGGGAGACAAGGTGCAGAGCGCACAGGCGCGAGGAGGGGCTCGGGCAGAGGAGAAGAAGGGGAGTGGAGGCGAGGGGGGATGGGAGAGCTGCAAGCGGAAGTGGGAGAGAGTAGAGTGTTGTGTACCCAGACGTACGATGTCTTATTTTTTCCCGTGCGGGGTCATTGGAAGTTCCGACGCTTTCCCCTGGCCGGTTTTTAACCCCTAGCCGTTTTGCTAATTGTTTTGGGGGCCAGCGAGGACCCCCAGAGGCCGACAGCGGTCTAAGAACCTTTTCGTCGTGATTTTATTCGATATTGCACGGCGTCCCCAAAAGGCCCGACCGCTTCCCGGCGGTAGTCGTGTCTCCCCGATTCATCTCTACTATGGCCGCGGGGCCCGAGGACCGAAATCGAGAAACGAACGCTGCTTTGAAATATCATATTGTCGGAGATTTGAAGGTGGCAGCTCAACCTACATATATCAAATCATATATCGGCCTTCGGTCCATCCCGCTACCGTGCCTGGGAAGGAGTCGTTGCCCTCAACATAGCTGCAGCAACACAGCACGCAGGCTATCCCTCCAAGAGTTCGCGCAAGAACCATCGTCGAAGTGCCCGTGGTGTTGACCGTGATGGGTCTTGTCGCCTTGGTCAGGCCCCCCATCCACAGCCCGCGCGAACTGGAGTTGCGCGCCCGCAGCGGCTGCCCAGCAGCGCGGGCAGAAACTGTCGAAACGGCCGCATGTAGGGGCACGGGCTCGATGTGGGCTACCAATCCCCGCCGCTGCCAGCTCGAGTGGGCCGCTCGGATCTCTCGGGCCCGCAGCTTGGCCGGGCGGGCGGCCATGCGGCCAGCGCCGCTGCGGGCTGCGGCGGCGCGCTGAGTGGACCTCCCCTTTCGCTCGGGAGCTGCCAAGATCTACGCCTCCTAGATGGGGTCGGAGTAGATGGGGTCGCGGGATCGCGCCGCATCGCCGATGCATCGCCGATGCATCGCCGATGCATCGGCGACGCGGCTCGATGTGGAGCCCAATTTTCTCCACGCCGGCGTCGCCGATGCACCGCCGACGTCGCCAGTGCATCGCCGATGCATCGTCCATGTATCGGCGATGCGGCGAGATCCCCCGACCCCATCTATTCGGACCCCATCTAGGAGGCCGCTACAAGAGGAGGCTAAGGACAAGGGGTGGTGGTGGATATCATGACTGGGGCCGTTCTATTCCCTCAGATTTGATGTTGGTTTTCTAATTATTGTAGAGGCCTCCGGCCGGTGCCGCCGATCCAGGACGATCCCGCTGTCAGAAGGACGCTTTCGCCCCAGCGCGGGGTGATCTTTTCCCTTCTCCGCGCTGCGCTGCAGTTTTGTAGGCAGTAAAACAATCTGGGTCCGAGTCGAAAAGGCGACGAAAAGGCGGAACCATTGAAGAGCACTTGTTTTGCAACGCGCTTGTTCAAACGTAAGTGGTTTGGAAACAGCTTGGAGGCATTGCGTAGGCTTCTTGAGGGACCTCTACGACGCATCTTCGATGCCTCCTGGGGGGGCGTCTTGGAGGTGATTGTTGAGCCTCTTGGGGGCCTTTTGGGCTTCTTGGGGAGCATGCAGGAGGGATCCTGGAGGCCTCCTGAGGGTGTGTAGAAGGTAATGTTTAAGCCTTCGGGGGCGCTTTTGGGCGCCTTTGGGGGGCCTCTTGAGGGCCACTTGGAGCCTCTCGGGGTTTCTTGGGGACTCCTAGGAGCCCTCTTGGGCGCTTCTTGGGCCCGTCCAGGGGCCTGCTTGGGCTGTCTTGGGGGCCTCCCGGGCCGTCTTGGGCCCTTCTTGGGCCGATTTGGGGCCCTCTTGAGAGCCTTTGGGCCTGTTTTGGGGGTCTCTTGGGCCGTGTTGGACATCGCGAAGGCCGGAGAACCGAAATACAAAATGTACGTTTTCCTACGGGAATGGGACAGATGTTCCGTCTTTGGGCACTCTTAGGAGGTATTGGGAGGGCACGTTGGAGGCTTCTGGAGCCGTCTGAGGAACATATTGGGCGTCTTGGAGCGATGTTTCGGCCACCCACCCCCCCAGCAGAGCTGAAGCTCAAGAACTGAGGCTCAGGCTATATCTGAGGGTCTTTGAAACTCACACGCCGGATCGGCGGATTTCAAGACGTCCGGCGCCCCCTGGGCCGCACACGTATCTCGGGCCATGTCTTTTTGCACGCCCCCCTATTGGACGCCCCCCCTGTCAGCCTCTCTCAGGATGCAACTCCTGGGAGGATGAGTTCAGCATAAGCGGTGATATTATCGTGGTCGAAACCTGGCCTGATGTCCTGTTTGATCCAGTTTGAATTCCGCATCTGTTTGTTCTATTAAGTTAAATTATGGGCTGGATCCTGATTATACTTTGGCCTCATGGCCCCCTAATAGGGCTTGACAGCCCCTAATCGCATGTTGATGCCTCCATCCCCCACAGTCAAGTACGGCAAACATGAAAAGCTATTCTCGGAGGTCCTCACGGACTTCTTGGATCGGCGTGGGCCCCCTTGGATGCGCCTTCGGCGCCGGCCCCGTGCGTTCCGCGCGCCAGGGAGGGGCGTCCAGCGCCAATCCAAGAGATCCGCGCGGACTTTCGAGAAAGGATGTTTCTGTTGTTTTTTACCGTTCCTCTACGTAGTGCGCTCCAGACCCAGACGTGCTCGCGTCGCGGAAAAACGCGTCGCGCGGTTCTTGGCCGTTTTCGGTCCCAGGAGGCCCTCGACGGCTCGGCATGGAGAACCGGCCCACTTCCAGGGAACCCGCATCGACAAAATCAGGGCATCACATACCTGGGGAGAGGGCTTCACCTGGAGCGCATCTCGCCCTCAGCGGGAGCCCAGTTGCGCGACCCCCTCCTCCTCCTCGTCCCCCTCCTCCTCCTCCGCCTCCTCCTCGCCCTCCTCCTCCTCCTCCTCCTCGTCCCCCTCCTCCTCCTCCGCCTCCTCCTCCTCGTCCTCCTCCTCGTCCTCCTCCTGTCCTCCCTCTCCTAGCTATGGTAGTGGTGGTGGAAAATCGGCCCATCAACACAACCCACTGATTGTCGTCCAACAGCTAGAACACTCTGCAAGGACGTGGTTTGCTTGGCTGACCTGCCGCTCAGGAGCTATCCCCCGCCGTTTACGCCCCGCGGCTCCCAGGTTCTCCCAGGGTTTTCTGGTCCGTCCCGCGGTTATCATAGGATAGTCAGTGGACACTCCCCCACTCCCCCAAATTCCAAATTGGTACGCGCGGGGAAGACTGCGGTCTAAGTGCAACTCATTCAGCCCACCGCCAGCATGGATCATTGGGGGGGTTGGGCATTACCAGATGAATGTGGCATGCGTGTTCGCTAATTTCTTCCGTGGCCTGTAGGGTTGCCCCGCGATTGTCCTGTGACTGTCCGGAAGCTGGGCCATTGGTAACAAAAGAGCCATCCGACGCGAAGCCATCGGGAGCCGAAAGTTGCACCCATCCTACCCACCGCCTTGTCACCTGAAGAGTGACATGTCTGGTAATTGTCGGATCCATTTTCTATTGTGAGGATATGCGCCGCCGACGGCAAGGATATTGAATCCGCGCATGGTATCTTTGACCGAGATGTGATCATACATATACTCTTGCAGGAAGTCGTCTGGAGGCACAAGCGAGGAGAAATTTGCGCATATGGCTGGGTGCGGGCATCTTCAGAATGGGACGTTCGAAGTTGGTGCGAATTATCGTGCAGTTAAGTGCACGTTACCTGTTGACGGTTGGTGCCACCAGAAAGTATTATGCGTAAGGGCTTCGCCCCCATGCCGCCAGCCCCCCTCTCTTAGAATGCGACTTGCCAGAGCTGTGTTGAGATGTCTGGACGCTAACGTTAGCAATGTCGGGACTTCACGCGAGGGCCAATCTTAATTCACGATGGTTTATGGCTTCGGTGGCGCGAATATGATGTAACGTACACGGGTTTATGGCTTCGGGGACCCGACTATTGAGTAATTTAATCGCTTCGCTCATTCCGCCGGCCCATACAGTCTCATGTCTGCCGTTTGCCCGAGGGCCTGGTGTCAATGCGGCGCTTTGGGGGTTCCTGGGGCCGCTTGGGGGACTCCTGGGGCGCTCGGGGGGGCATTTGGGGGGCCTCCTGGGGCCGCTTGGGGGACTCTTGGGGGCCTCCTGAGGGCCCCGTGGGGGCCTCTTGGGGCCTCTTAGGGGCCTCGTAGGGGCTTCTTAGGGCCGAGGGCTCGAAATGTTGTTTCGTGTTCCCTCTCTGGGGCCCCTTTGGGGGCGTTCTTGGGGCCCTCTTGGACCGTTTTGGAGGCTTCTTGGGCCGTCTTCGAGCCCTCTTGGGCCATCTTGGGGCCCTCTTGGGTGCCTCTTGGGCCCTCTTGGGGCGATCTTGGGGGCCTCTTGGGCCGTCTTGGGGCGTCGGGAAGCCGAAAAGGTGGAAGCTCCAAAATCTCTCAAAAACCTATGGAAAAACAATGATTTTTGCCTCCGGGGGCCCTATTGGGAGTGCTCTTGGAGGCCTCTTGGGGCGTCTGGGGGCTATCTTGGGCGTCTTGGAGCGATCTTGTGGCATGTCGGACCCCTCGTGTACCATCTTGGGGGCCTCTTGGGGGCCTCTTGGCCTTTCTTGGGGCTCTCGGGGACGTCTCGGAGCCCTGTTGGTGCGCTCATGGAGCGCTCGGGGGGACCCGGCCGGGACCCGGCCGGGGACCGGCCGGGACCTGGTCGGGGTACTTTTCGTCCGGGGACCCCCAGGGGCCGCCCCGCGCGCGCGAACTAGAAAATTGTTAACCAGTTACCGGAGATCTTAGCACGCCTCTGGCCCGTTGGGCCGGCGAATTTACAAAAAGGTTTGTAGCCTCGGAGGCGCAAGCATTGCTAAATTTACTGGGGTTTTGGCCTCGGGGGCGCGAATATTGTGTAATCAATAGAGGTGTATGGCTTCGGGGACGCGAATAAGGCGTAATTTGCGAAGGCTTGTGGCCTCGTGGACGCACATATCGGGTAATGTGCAAGGGAATATGGTTTCGGGGACGCGAGCTTTGCATAATTTACAAGGGTGTATGGCCTCGGGGACGTGAATATGGTGTAATTTACGAGGGATTATGGCCTCGGGGACGCGAATCTTATTCATTAGTATATGTCCCACGCCCCCCCACGAATTCTGAGAATCCCCCCAGGGCGGGGTTCAAAAAACCTGTTTGGGGCTCCATCCCCTCGCGCGGACAGCAAGAATTAACAGTAAGAAAGCCGAAAGCAGGACTGTAAGAGTGGAAACCGGACACTGCAACTGGGACAGGGAGCTGCAATCCTCATCCTCGCTCATCCTCGCAGCTTGGTGGCCCCACAAGGAGGAACGGCGGATTTAGTATATATTCACAGCATCGGTAAACACGCATTCTTCCACCACATCCACAGGAGGCATCATGAAGTGACGCAGAAGGAGGGAGGGATAATGCAATTTATTGCCCGAGTTCTAGCACCGCTCCAACAGCTAAATGGGAGCGATCTCCTATATGGCATGTTTCCAGAGGCTCTCGACCCTCATCTTTCGTATGTATTGCGCGCCTTGCGCTGTTTTCTGTGGGCCCCAGGACCCGAGACGGGATTCCTGAGGGCTTCCGACCTGAAAAGCATGCGCCAACGTCGACGCGGCGTAGGGGCGGCAATGACTAATCACTTGCCGTACGTTCGAGTCTGAGCCATCGGCGCCGTGGCCTTGGATTCCGTATCCAACTATTGAGCTGGCGGCACCTGAATCTTGAACAGTCAGGACATTCCTCCTTCTCTGCTCATCCTCCTCCTTTCCTCCCTCCCTCGTCTTCTTGTCCTCCTCGCTTCCCGGTCTCCTCCGAATCCCCTCCTCGATCCTCCCTTCCTGCTTTTTACTAGTGTCTCAGGCCGCCCTCCTCATGACCCTCCTCGTTCATTATCTCATTTTCCTAATCTTGCCGCTACTGTTCGTCGACTCTTGTCCTTATCCTTTCATCCTTCCTGATCGCATTCCGTCCTTCCCTCCTCTTGTTCATCATCATGTTCTCTTCTGCTCTCCTTCTTCCCGTTGCCCTTACCCAGCCCCTTCAGAGCGGAGACGGACGACTCCGGACGACGACGAGTACCGACGACGATTCCCAACGACGAGGTCGATTGCGACGACGACGACGACTGCCGACGACGACGACAATCACGACGACGACTCCGACGACCCTCGACTGCCTACCGACCACCGATTACCGACCACCGACCACCGACCACCAACTATGACCGACGACGGCGGCAACAGTGGCGGCAACGACGACAACGCACACCGCCCGACGATGGCGACGACGACGACGACAACGCAGGCCGACCGCCGCCGACGACGACGACGACGCACGCCGACCAGCGACGACGACGACGACGTCGACGATTGCCTACGACATCGACGACGGCCGCGGACGGTGCGGCCTCAGGGCCCGCGGGAGCGACGGCATGGCGACCGCGGCTGGCTCGGCCGCCCTCCTCGCGCTGGGCTTGCTGCTCCCGCTGCTGGCCAGCATGCTCTGCGAGCCAGAGCCGGCGCCGACTGACGACCGAGGACGACGACCGAGGACGAGGCCGACGACGACGAACGCCGACCGACGATAACTATAACGACGACGGCGACGGCGACGACGCTGACGACGACGAAGACGACGACGACTGCCTACGACATCGACGACAACAGAGGGCGACGGCGACGACGACCGACGACGACGACTGACCGAAGGCGACGGCAGTCGACGGCGACGGGTGAAGAAGGCGGGACTAATCAAAAATCGAGGGCGAAGTTGCTAGACGTTCCTCTTTGCACGTTCCAGGCCTCGCGGCCGGGATTGGATCCGCCTGGCACTTTTTGCCAGAACAATCCCTGTGGACAGGTCTGGTGGGCGACCAGCGGCCGGCGACGGTGACGACGACGGAGGACCGCGACGACGACGACGACGTTCACGACCACGACCTTTACGACGACGATGGCGACGACTACCCTTGCCTCCACGCCCCCGCTCCTTCTGCAGCCGAGGGGGCTGACTTGCGCGCCAGCGCGGCAACTGTGGCGCCGACTCATCGAAAGCTCTGGCCGTCGCGACGACCTCGACGACGAGCACCATGATCCCGACGACCATGACGACGGCGGCCACGGCCAAGACCACGAGGACGACCACGAGGACGACGACACGACGACGACGACCAGCACGACCGCGACCGAGACGACCACGAGCACGGCCACGGCCACGGCCGCGGCGGCGGCCGCGGTGGCAGAGGTGCAGCTGCTCCTCTCCGCGATGGTCGCCTTCGCGTCGGTGGCCTCCGTCCCCTTCCTGGAGGAGCCCCGGCGGCGGCGGCGCTGACGACGGACGACGACGAGACAAAACGGGAGGATGGCGTCGAGGACGGCGACCTACGGCCACGGACTTTGGCTCAGCGCGCGTCGCGCCGCGGGCTCTGTGTGACCCACCACGCCTGGGCGCGACGACGTGTATCCACGTCCCTGCCCCCGGGCGTCGTTGTCCCGAGCCTCTCCAGGCTCCCCCCCCGCGGAGCGGAGCGACACGCTCTCAGCTCGCAGGGCGTAGCGCGTCGCCGGGGCCGCCGCTGCGGCACGCTGAGCGAAAGCTCCTGCTCGTATACATCCGACGGCACGACTGCTCCCCTGCCGACAGATTGGGGTTGTTCGGGTATAGCCAGGACCCTGGGTAAGGGGGCCCGGTTAGTGGTATAGGACTATGGGGCCCTTCAATTGACCAGGTTCACTAAACCAGGTTTGCCGTAATTGGTGTTTTTCGGGTTACGGCAGTTCCGGTTAGTGGAAATGGGGCGGGGGGGCGCCCCCGGTACGAATCACACAACCAGGTTCCTCTAAACCCAGTTCTGCCAATGCCCGAGTTGTCAACGTCGAAAGACAGGAGCTCCCGACCCGCCTCGCACACCTTGCACACCGCGGCCGCCAGGCCCAAAGTGTGCCAGTTGTCCTCGTTCCTCTCCTCGTTCCTCCTCCTTCTCCTCCTCCTCCTCCGCCTTCCGGCCTTTCCGCGCTCTGTTTGTCACCCGTTCTTGCCGCTGGGCCCCCTTCTGGATGGTAAGAAGAGAGCCGGTGCTCCACGGGGATCCCGCCTCGCGTTCTCGGGTGGGGATCGCTCGACACGAGGCAACTTGCTCGTGAGTGTTTCGCTGGTGTGCTGTCCTGACGCCCGCTTTTGTGAAGTGCCCCCGCGGGGGGGCCCAAGAGAGGCCCCCAAAGGTCGAAGCCGCCCAGAAGCCTGCCGTCTCGATTTGCCCGGACCTTAATTACCAGCCCGGAACATCTGTCGCCGCGCCGATTGTTCCGACGCGCGGCCTTGCGTCTTGGGGAGGGCGCCGCGGCCACCAGGGCGAGCTCCTCCTCGGGCGCGGTGGGTTCGCCGTGGGTTGCCGCAGCGTCGGCGTCATTTGCTGGGGTGCGGGACTCAGGACTTGCGGTGGGTTTGCGCCGTGGCGTCGGCTTTGTCCATTTGGGCGCATCGAGGACAAACGGCGCGGCGACATACCAGCCTCCCCATGATTGGCATCGCCTGATTTCGATGCCGATCTCAAGGACTCTCTCAGTTTCTGATGGCGCACCCCTGAGATCGTGATCGCCTCCGTACGAGCCTCAAGCTTATACCCATATAGGCATAGGCCTACGCCGGGGCCGTCCTAACCGGGCAGGGCCGTCCTAACCAGCCTCAAGCTCTTACCCCTAGATAGGGATGAGCAGGAGGCTGGTTGCGTAGGACCCGGGGGGGCGGCAGCGGCAGCCGCGGCGGCGTCGGCGGCGGGGGCCGCGGTGGCCGCCACCCCGCGCCGGTGGGCCTCCCGAGCCCCCTCCTCCTGGAGGAGCTGCTGCTGGCGCCCCCGTCCCCGGACCTCACCGGGGTGCTGCAGGGCCTGCGGTGCGCCGGGGAGCGGCATCGTCTCACCGATCCTCATGTTGGCGGCGAGCGAGGGGAGGGGAGTGAGAGGGAGAAGGCCTCCTCAGAAGGCGGCGGGACTTCTCAGAAGCCCTCGCGCGCCTTCTTAGAAGACTTTTCTGTCTTCGGGGAAGGCTAAGAATACTTTTCAGAATGTCGGGGGAGTTCCGAGCCTTCTGAGAACCCCTTCCCCCCGGGATCGCCGCCGATCATTCCCGCTGGGCGATGGTGCCATGGTATATCTCGGCCCGGCCAGTCCACCCTCCTAGATGGGGATTGGCCCCGCCCGCGACCCCTGACGGAGCAGGCATAGATCCCCGTCTAGATGGGCAAGTCGGTCAGTGGGGCCAAGGCCACTCACTACGCTGGGGATAGGGATCGAATAAGTGATACTCAGGGGAGGACCCCGAACGCCCAGACCTCGCAGAGTGCGTCGACGGGGAGGAAAGGTTTTGATGCCTTCTCGAGCCTTCTTGGGCTTCTTGGCAGGTTCTCGCTGTCGCGGCTGTATTCGCCTCGAAGTTCTGGTCGGCCGACGGGGTCCAGGTTCGGATGTTGAGCAAAAGTGGGTGCCATGGGAATATCCAGACCCCTGGCGCGCGACAGTATCGAGACGGGCCCCGTCTCGGGCTCCAGGAGGGGGAGGAGGAGGAGGAGGAGGCGGAGGAGGAGGACGCCCAATCAAACGATCCAGTGCTCACGCCACAGGAGAGTCAAACCTCGGATGCTTTGCTTTTTGTTCCATCTTGGAGGACCCCGTCGCCACGGCGGGATCCGGCCCAGCGGAATCCTGGCCAGAGCGCGCTCCAGGACAGGCCAGGGGGTCAGCAGCCAGACACCTGGGCGCCACAGTGTCGCGAAGAAGGTAACTACCTGGGCGTCGGGAGGGGCGTGTTCGGGCCCCCGGGGATGGTGGTCAACTGCTCTAGCGTGGTGAGAGCTTCGGCCAAGCCGCCAGCTCTTCTGCAGTGGCACCCAGTCCTACTCTTTTTGTCTGCCCCCCTCTTCCTCCTCCTCCTCCCTGTCATCTCTCCCTTCCTCAATTGGGTGACTAGGAGAGGGGGAGGAATAGAACGAGGGGATGAGGAAGGAGGGGAGGAGGAGGCGCAGAGTGGACAAAGCTCGTCTAGACAGCGCGGCCGCAAGGAGGAGAAGGAGGAGGAGGAGGAAGAGCTGGTGGGGACCGAGACGGGGACCATAATGTGGACGGGAGACGGGAGACGGGAGACGGGCGACAACAGCCAGGGACAGCAAAAGAGGGATTAGGGGGCAAGGGGTGGGGGCATGAACAGGGAGTGGCAGGATGAGAGGGGGATGGGCCGCCGCCGCCATCGTCGTCGTGATAGACATCGTCGTCGCCGCTGCTGACGTTGTCGTCGTCGTGATCGCCATCGCCGCCGCCGCCGGTTGTATAGTAGTCGTCGTGGTCGTCGGCGTGGTTGCCGTCTTCGTGTGTCTTCGTCTCTGTTGTGGTTGTCCCACCTTGAGATCCGACGTTGCGAAACATGCAACTTCGCAAGAGCCCCAGGCCAATCTCTATGTGGTATGTCTTGTGCCAGATCGATCCGTGGTCCGAAGCTGGGCGAAGGCGCCCAGTGCGGAAAAATGCAACGCCAGGATCTGAGGGCCGCCGCCGCCGCCGGCGCATCACACTGGTCGTCATCGTCGTCGCCGTCGTGGCCTCCGCCGTGGCGCGGACAGGTCCGCGGAGCACCTCAAGGGCTGGGCGGCAAACAGGACGTCGGGCGCCCCGCCCGCGACAGCGCTCCCCAGGCCCTCCTTGCGGCCTCGCACCGGGTCCGAGAGAGGCAGGGGGAGTGAAGCAGTGGCGAGGCGTCCCGGCTCTCGTATAGGCCCGCCAAGGAATGCTCTAAGAACCTGTCGTGGTCTGCGCGAAATGTTCTTACAACATCCGTAAGGGCTCCGCCCCCTGCCGCCGGCCCCCTCTCTCGGAGAATGGGCCATGGAAGAGCTGAGTCATGAGGCTTTGGCGCTGTCGCGCAGCAGTATCGGAACTTCATGCGAGGCCGATTCGCAATCGGCAAAACCAATTGATCACAAGAGGGGTTACCACACAGGGCGATTGGTAAGACGTGTATGGTTTACGAGCTTGGTTACCACACCTTGGGATTAAAGGGCCGAGGGAGTACTCGCAGTTTGGGTTACCACGCCTTGCGATGGATGTCCGTGAGGGGTGGCACCGAATTTCAGAAATGTGGCAAATCCCTGTGTTTTTGGACCCTGACCCCGCGGATCTGCGTGAGGGGTGGCACCGAATTTCAGAAATGTGGCAAATCCCCTGTGTTTTTGGACCCTGACCCCGCGGATCTGCGTGAGGGGTGGCACCGAATTTCAGAAATGTGGCAAATCCCATGTGTTTTTGGACCCTGACCCCGCGGATCTGCATGAGGGGTGGCACCGAATTTCAGAAATGTGGCAAATCCCATGTGTTTTTGGACCCTGACCCCGCGGATCTGCGTGAGGGGTGGCACCGAATTTTAGAAATGTGGCAAATCCCATGTGTTTTTGGACCCTGACCCCGCGGATCTGCGTGAGGGGAGGCACCGAATTTTAGAAATGTGCAAATCCCCTTTTGTTTTTGGACCCTGACCCCGCGGATCTGCGTGAGGGGTGGCACCGAATTTCAGAAATGTGGCAAATCCCATGTGTTTTTGGACCCTGACCCCGCGGATCTGCGTGAGGGGTGGCACCGAATTTCAGAAATGTGCAAATCCCATGTGTTTTTGGACCCTGACCCCGCGGATCTGCGTGAGGGGTGGCACCGAATTTCAGAAATGTGGCAAATCCCCTTGTGTTTTTGGACCCTGACCCTGCGGATCTGCGTGAGGGGTGGCACCGAATTTCAGAAATGTGGCAAATCCAATGTGTTTTTGGACCCTGACCCCGCGGATCTGCGTGAGGGGTGTCGATTTCGAGCCCCCCCAGCAATTCAGACAACGCGCCTAGGGGGTGCTAAAAAATTCTGTTTGGGCCTCCCCCCCCCTCGCGCGGTCAATCAACTAGTTACAGTAACCAGCAAGAAGCAGAACTGTAACACTGGAAACTACAAGCTACAACTGGCACTGGAAACTGCGAACCCGCGCCTACAGCCTGGTGGCCCCACAAGGGGGCCGGCGGATTTCTGGCTGGGATCGCTGTGTCTTAGCACATGGGCTTTATGTTCTCAGAACATTGTTTTTGTTCTTCGAGCACTTTCTTGTTCTAAGCCCATTTCCGTGGTAGGCCAATCGGAATGCCGGGACGGTCGGTCCCTGCTCAAAGGAGGTCAGGGGACACGGTAGGGGGGATAAGTTCAGGGGAGGATGCATCGACCCCCAGTCGCTTATTCATCGCCAATAGTGGCCCGATAGTTGCCCCGCCCAGGAGCGTGCGGCTTTGCTATGGGAGGCATATCGCCGATCTAGCGGGGATGCTTCGCCAATTCCAGCTCAACGTTTCACCTTTTGAGCCAGACCCCCCTGCCCCTCAGGAGGCAGGGGGGGAGTCGCCGTGAAGAAGGGTCCTGGACTGTGTTCGCAGCGGTTGCGCTTCTAGGGGACCCTGCTCGGGCCCGATGCCCTCCCCCTCATGCCAGGGCTGGACCTAAACTGTGTTTTGGCGATTTCGCGGGCCCTTTTCGTTGCGACTTCGTTTTGCGGCAAAGGCGGATTGAAGACAAACGAGGGAAAACGACAACGAAACGAAAACGAACAACACCGTTTAGGTTCAGCCCTGCCTCAGGCCAAGAGAGGAAGGGGGGGGGAGAAGGAAGGGGGAGGGTTGGTCGCCAAGATGGCCCGCGAGATCCCGCGACGTGCAACGGCCGGGCTGCCTCCCCCACACGTTGCGAGGGACTTGTGAGGCGAGGGTCAGAAGTAGGATGAAGTCGTGCCTGCCTGTCCCTCTGCAGGTGGAGTATTCAAAAATAGTCAAAACATAGTCTGGGGACGATTTTTGGATCATTCTTCAGCATTTTTGGCATATTTTAGGGGGTATAATTTATTTGTCGTCCAAACTCCGCCTGTAGGGGGGCACGCCCGACCTTAAAGTAGGAGACACAGGAGGAGTCCAGAGCTTCAGTTCGGGAAGGGCTCTACCTGAGCCCTGCTGTGGAGGGGGCGGGGCAGAGGACGAGGAGAAGGGGGATGGAGGCGCAGGGCGAGGAGGAGCGGGGGGCCAGAGCAGAAGGATCAGCAGCCTCAGGCGGAGTTGGCGGAGGTAGAGAGCAAGCAACGGTAGGATGCGGATTAAGGGGGGAAGGGGGAGGCGAGAAGGAGCAGCAGCAGGAGGCTAGAGTGAGGTGCAGGAGGCGTGGGAGATTGAGGAGTGTGCGGAGGGGGTGGAGCAGCACGGACAGGAAGACGAGGCTGAGCAGCATCAGGAGGATGGGACGGAAAGGGGGGGCAGCTTGTGCACGTCTGGGTGGCAGAATGCGCCTCCTGCTTGAGAACCGCCCGCCGAGGAGACTGCACTCTGAAAAGTGCATTCCGGATCCCAGTTGGGCGACGACAAAAGAACGGGTCCAATTGCGCCGACCTTGGCACGTAAGCTGCCCGCGTAAGGTCGCGCGTAAGCGCCCTCGTCTCCAATGTGGCGTGCCGCGCCGGCGGCCCGCGTAAGGTGTGGCGCAAGGTCGCTGCTTCATCTCGCGTAAGACCCGTTTATGATCGTCGCGCAGTAGGCGCACCGACTCGACGAACCGAGTTGACACGGCGAGTTGGCGTGCCATTCGTCGTTGACGCGGGAGTCTCTAAAGAGCGATCTTCCCCCAGACAGACCCAAGGGGTCATTGCCGCTGAGCGGGAGGAAGGGGAGGACTTGCGGCAGCAAAAAGCTAGCAGCGACAGCAGCTTCGACGACAAAGACAACGACAGAGACAAAGACAAAGACAAGGACAAAGACAAAGGCGACGACGACGACGTCGACGACGGCGACGACCCCCGACGACCCCCGACGACCTCAGAAGGCTTCTGGAGGTTTCTCATGGGTTTCTGGAGGTCCCTAGAGGCTTCTGGAGGCCCACAGATTGAAGAAGAAACAACCACATACACATAAACTTTTGGCGCTCCGCGCGGATTTCTTGGATCCGCGCTGGGACCCCCCCAGCGGCGCCTACAGCGCCGCCCCTGGCGCGCTCCGCGCGCCACGGAGGGGGTCCAGCGCCGATCCGAGAAATCCGCGCGGACCTTCGAGTTTTTATGTGAATGTTAATGTTCGTTCCCCTAAGTAGGGTGGCCCTCTCGGGCTTAGAGGTGGGCGGTGGACACCAGGCAAACTCTCTGTCCAGTCCGTCCCTTGTCGCTGGGGGGCGGCGCTGGAGGCGCCGCTGGGGGAGGCCCAGCGCGGATCCAAGAAATCAGCGCGGAGCGCCAGAAGTTTATGTTCATGTGGTTGTTGTTTCTTCTTCTTCTTCTCACAGAGGGCCCTGCACGTCCGACCTGTCAAGCCTCGGTCCTCGACCCTCAAGCCCCGGACCCAGACATCCGACGACGACATGAGCGTTGCAATTCGCCGTCCAAGAGTTTCCGACCCCTTCTCCGGAGCAAGCTGTTCGCCTCGGATCCGTTTTTGATGGCCTCGGGGCTGGACAACGGGTTCGCGGTGCTAGCATCTGGGAAGCACGCCAGGATTGACCGGGTCATACCGCAGGACATCTGGGAATTATTGAGGGTCGAATTTGGTACGTAGAGAGTTGTAATGAACACCGACAGAAATTCTTGTCCAGTTCGAACCCGGCTCGCTGTCGGTGTCGTCGCGGATGTTTCTTGCGTTGGTGAGAAATGTTGCCTGCCCAACCGAGACCGCTGTCGGTTTGGGGGAACATGTGTTGTTGGGAATCGTATTGTGCGGGCGTTCGTTTAATAATGTGACCAGGATGCTTCAGATCCTGGAGAAATCCCTTTTCAGATGCGCGCGGCGGTGGTACCCACGGTCGAGCTTCAGTTGGTGTCCATTGGCCCTAGATTCATTATCCAATGGTTCCCTCTTCAAGGCCCCATCGCCGTACCAATTTCTTCCGCACGGTCAACACGGACAGTAAGGATGCGCGATTTTCCCAGGTTGCTCTTGCATCTTTCTCCGTCGGCCCATCCTTCGCTACTTTTGCTGGCCGCACCCCGCTAGACACGTGTCGACACGGCCGTCCAAGGCCCTTGCATCCTTATCGCGCATCCTCGTTCTACTCGGTGCTTGTACTCCTTCCTGCCGTGCCAGGGCATTCCTCCGATTCGATTCGATTCGACTTCGATGGCTTCCGATTCCGATTCGATTCGACTTGGGATTCCCACTCGGGCTCCGAGTTCTCCTTGGAGGCAAACCAGCCTGCCGATGTCCGCCGATTCGACTTCTCCCGACTTGGCCGCCGATCCCAGACCCCCGATGTCATGATTTGTTTCATTACGTCGACCCCCGGAGGTCTCGACCCCTTCCTCCTGGACGGGTTTCTCATCCTGCGGCGTTTCTTGACGGCCCCGAGGGCCGGTGAGGGCCCCCAGAGGCCGAAGATAGCGAAAAACCTCCCGCCATGATTTTTCTTCATTACCCGAGGGGGTCTGGGACTTCCGCCGATCCGATGAAATTCGATCGCCGATCCGACTTCTCGACTCGATCCTGGGCTCTCCTGCCGTGCCCGGCAGCGGCGGCCACCGGCGACGCTCGGCGGGGGACCCGGCGGCGCGCGCGGCCCCTCCGCCCGGGCGGCACGCCCAGGACGTGGCGGGCCGCCCAGGAGCACGACGCCCTCGCGAACCTGCTGCGGAAGGCCGTGTCGCGGCGGCCCGCCCCGGCGGCCCGTCTCGGCGGCGTCTTCGGCAGCGGCGCAGCGGCGCAGAGGTGGGCAGACCTCTGGCGACACGACGTTTTCAATCCCGGGCGTTTTTCGTCGATTGCGGCCCCCGTGCCCGTGGTTTTGGCCCCGAGGCCACCCAAAACGGGAGAAGGGAGGAAGGACTACCCCCCCAGGGAGTCGGTCGAGACTTGCTGTCTGGGTCCGCGGATTTAGACAACAAAAATGTCAGATGTTTGGGGAGGTCGTCGCCACAGCTGCTGCGGCGGCCGTGACCGCCATCGTCGTCGTCGTCGTCGTCGTCGTCGTCGTCGTCGTCGTCGTCGTCGGCGTCGGCGTCGGCGTCGGCGTCGGCGTCGGCGTCGGCGTCGGCGTCGGCGTCGGCGTCGTCGTCGTCGTCGTCGTCGTCGGCGTCCGTCGGGGCAGATTGAGGAGAAGGGGGGGCGGAGAGTGGATAATTTACGGGGGCGAGGATATGAAGAAGAGGCGTGGGAGGAGCGATGACGCGTGAAGGGTGAAGGATGAGGATGGACGAGCTAGCAGGATGGATGACGGATGAAGGAAGAAAAGGAGAAAGGATGGGAACGGAAGCAAGAGGGGGGGTGTGAGACGGAAGATGGAGGACGGAGGAGAGTAATCCGTACAGTCAACCCGAATAGTAAGGATGGGCAATTGTTCCAAGGGTACCCTTGCATCCTTGCCTCCTCGGCCCATCCTTAGCCACTTTCGTTGGCCGCGCCCCGCTCCAAAAGCTTCGACGTGGCCTTCCAAGGCCCTTGCATCCTTATCGCGCATCCTTACTATACTGGTTGACTGTAGCCTTTTTGGCTCAGGGGTGAGCGTCGTGAAGCACGGTAGACGTTCGAGAATCAGCGATTCGTTAGGGGCCTTCCTCTGCAGGTGGCCCGGGCCGACTCTGTGGCCGCCGGGAGGCCGCGGCGCGTGCTGCGCCATCTTTAATTACGAGCTTTCCGTCTACTTTGAAATCGGTCCTGTCCCTCTACAGGAGGACTATTCAAAAGTGGTTAAATCAAAGGTAGTATGAGGAGTATATTTTCCCCCAACCCTCCTTGGTTGGGTATTCGTTTTGACTAGTGCAGTGTGGTCTCCGTCCTTCCTTCTCTCCTTCCCGACTCCCTCCTGCCTCATCCTGTCTTGCCTCGGGGTGGGGAGGCTGCGATCTGTCAAACTGTCGCCACTTTCGAGGGCTGCTTGGGGGTCCAGCACAGTGACGTCCCACGCGGATTCAAATTGGACCTCGCCACCCTTAGGGGGTTGCGGTCTAAGAATCGGACGCCACTTTCGAGGGCTGCTTGGGGGTCCAGCGCAGTGACGTCCCACGCGGATTCAAATTGGACCTCGCCATCCTGGAGGGGCTGCGATTTGTGAAACTGTCGTTACTTTCGACGGCTGCTGGGGGGGTCCAGCACAGTGACGTCCTACGCGGATTCAAATTAGACCTCGCCATCCCAGGGGAGCTGCGATCTGTGAAACTGTGGATTAAAACTAGACCTCGCCATCTTCGGGGGGTTGCGATCTGCGAAACCATCGCCACTTTCGAGGGCTGTTGGGGGGTCCAGCACGGTGACGTCCTACGCGGATTCAACCTCGACCTCGTTATTTTTTGGGGGGTGCGACATGTGAAGCCGCCGTCACTTTCGAGGGCTGCTGGGGGGTCCAGCACAGTGACGTCCTACGCGGATTCAAACTAGACCTCGCCATCTTCGGGGGGCTGCGATCTGTGAAACCATCGCCACTTTCGAGGGCAGCTGGGGGGTCCAGCACAGTGTCATCTTACGCAGATTTAAATTTGACCTCGCTGGGGAGCTGCGATCTGTGAAACTGTCACCAGATTCGAGGGTTGCTGGGGGGTCCAGCATAGAGACGTCCTACGCAGATTCGAATATGACCTAGCCATCCCTGGGGGGGTGCGATCTGTGAAACTGTCGTTGCTTTCGAGGGCTGCTGGGGCGTCCAGCACGTGCTGCTCTCCAGAGCCACGACGGTCGACGATCTCGTGATGATCCGGCCCCCGGAGCTGCAGTTCCTTTCTCGCGGGCCTCCCGCGGACCTCGCGGCGCGCTTGCGTGCTTTTAGCTCCCGCTTTGAAAAGCGCAAGAAAGAGGCCCAGCTGCTGGCAAAGCAGCTCGGCCTTTCGGATTCGTTGCGTTGACTGCGCCTGTTTGCTGGCTTGCCTCGAAACATGGTCCCCCTGATTCCGCTGCCCTCCTCGCGTTGTCACCCCTTCCCTCCAGCCGCTTATTTTCCTGCTGCTATATCTTCTTGCTGCTGCCAGAACGCGAGCCAGAGGTAACATGCGGGCATATGGGGTCCACGACGGGGCGCGAAGTACGCGAGAGGTCTGCTGAGTGTAAGCTCGATTGAAGGCCCCGCCACATCACCACCCCTTTGATAAAGTATCCCAAACTACCCTGCCCAGCATTGCGCAGGGGTTGGGTGCGTCGCCTGGGCAATTCGTATTTTCTTGACAATTCTTGAGTACATGTTGGGACGATGCATAAGTTCTTCATCGAAAATCGGCCTGTAGGGGGACAGGCGTGACCTGAGTCTACTTCTTCTTACCCTGCTGCCGGGGGCCGTGCCATGTCGGCCGCGCCGGGGCCTTCGCCTTCTGGTTCCAAGCGTGCGTCCGCATGGTCACCGCTGGGGCGCCGCCGGGAGGCCCCGACAGGGCGAACGCGGGCGGCGCCGAGATTCCTCTGTCCGCGGTCTGGAGGGTCGCGGAGGCCAGCGACATCTCGCGGTGCGATGCGGGGCTCGAGGTGCGACCAGTGACCGTGTTTGCGGGGGCGAAGGGCGTCTACGCGCCGAACGGCAAGGACGCGGTCTTCGTGGAGTTCAGCGACGAGGAGCCTGAGGATTTCATCGCTCGGCTGGCCCCTCGCGATCGCGCTGCCGCCGCCGAAGCGCAGCCCGACGCCCGCGCACTCTCGGTCAGAGTTGACCTAGGCGGGCGCATGCGCGACTGGAAGGACGTCGTCGACGACAGCTGCGTGCAGGAGGAGATCGGCGACTTCCCCGTGAGCGGACCGAGAAGCATGAGCCGGTGTCTTTCGTTCCTCCGAAGGAGGCATACTCCGCTAGACCATCACCTCATGTTCCGCAGCACGTGTTCGTTGAAGCCCGAACAGCGGGGCGTCGCCGTGCGCGAGAGCCTTCTCCGCATCATCGAGTTGGCGGGGCAACGCGACCAGCTCGACGTCAGCAACCTGGCCTGCGCGGAGGCGGCTGCGAGGCGAGTCCACGCGATCGAGCGGGCGCACCGCGACGAGATCAGGGAGGCGGACGCGGGGTCCAGCTCTCGGCCCTCGATCGAGGAGGCGACCGCCATCTTTGGACCCAGCCGCGCGGGCGATCTGCTGATGGTGGCGCCATCGTTGCTGGATCACCTGAAGGTGCAGGCGGAGAAGGGCGTTCCATCATGAAGAACATCAGGAAGGCGAAGGAGGAACGCGAACTTCGCCGGAAGCAGAAAGATAAGCCGGTGCGAGAGGCCCCGGGCGGAGGGGCTCAGAGCAAGCCGGCCCTTCGGCCCCAACTTTTACCCCGGGCTTGCCACGCGCCTTTCCAGGAGAAGGCTTCATTCGCGCCCCTCCTGGTCTCGAGCCTCCCAGGGGTTGGAAGTCGCGAGATCGCGCGCCGCGCCTCGGAGTCGCCGGCGAGATGTTTTTCCTGCCCCCTATCATGCTGGAGGAGGCGCCGCGCTTCGATTTCACGACGCGTCTCTGCGCTGCCGAGCTCGGCGGTGAGTTTTGCGACGACATGCGATCGCGGGCCTGTCCGATCTTGCTCTCTCTGCACTCAACTCGTTGGCTGGCGGCGATCAGGGGTCTTCTGCTCGCATATCCAGTCGCGGCGGGGCCCCGCTGGCGGCTGCGCAGCGCCGCGCATCTGCTGCCGCTGCGGCGACGGGCCCCCCCCCGCCCTCGCGGCCTCGGGGGCCCTGCGGGAGCTCCGAGGGTGCGCGGTAGACACGCAGTCCACCGTTGTGCCGCGCGACGAGCTGAAGGCCCCCGTGCCCGCCGCCGGTAATCGCCCAGCGCCGTTGGCAGATCTTTTTGGGGCCTGAGGACAACAGAGTCGACGGCTTCATCGGTGCCCGCCTTCTCAAACAAGAAGCAGCCCGCTTCGATCTCCAGAGCGCTCCACGCGAGGCATGCATGGACGAGGTACTGCGCACTTCATTGCATGGATACCGGCGGCTGATCAAGAGGCTCCAGAGGGCCTCGGCGATCGACAACACGCTCGAGCCGCCAGAGTTATGCTCGCTCTTCTTCGGAAGAAGCATGGCGAGCAACCGTTAGTGATCGACTGCCGACGATCGAATTTCCGGCCCCACCCCCCGACCCCGTTGAGCTCAGCGCGGGGGCTGCATTTGGCAACGTGGAAGTGCCAGCAGGGGCTACCTTGCACGTGGGCCACGTAGATAAAGGATGTCGTCTACTATTTCGAGATGCCGCTGAAGCTGCGGAGCTACTTTGCTCTTCCAGCCGCGCCAGCTTGGATTGCTGGGGTCGCCGAAGTGGACGGCGCGAGAGTGAGCCCAGGCACGCCTGTGCACCCCCGGCTTCGCGCGCTGCGTACAGGGTGGTCCCATGCTCTGCGGTTCTGTCAGTCTTTACATCGACGTATCATCCAGAGCATTCCCGGCCTGGGCGAGGCCTCGTTCCTTCGTGGCCGGGGGGCCGCGCCTGCGACCACCCCCGCCTGTCATGCAGCATATGTTGAACTCTCTTGCGCTTGGCACGTGTCGCTCGACGGTCGGGCGGCTCGTGCGACAGGTCGACGAGGCGCTTCGCTCTCGAGGCCCACCTGCGCGCGAGATTGCGACGTGCTCTCAGGTGGAGGAGGCGCTTGGATGGGAGATCAATAGTCGGAACGGCTTCACCAGACCTCGGCCCGAACGTGCCTGGCGGATCCGGTTGGCTATAGGCGGTTCACTCGAACGCAAGCAG